TGTTTCGTTTTTTCCCCCTCCCCCCCCCCCCAAAGCCACAACCTCAAAACCCCGATAAAGAAAAACCAGGTTCCCTTAGCAACAGTCAGGTGCCCAGATCTGAGACATCTCCCCACTGGGGCTCAGGCTGAGGCAGGGAGAAAACGCCACAGGTGCTCTGCAGTCAGGTTTTCCTCTGGACACCCAGGACCCCAGGTCCAACGCATATGATCCTTGCTCTGCAAGCAGCAGCTTTTTTGCCCATCCATGAACTGTTTTGTTTTGTTTTTGTTTTTTTTTTTCCACTGTAGGGAAGGCTGTGCCTCAGGCCATGTGGTCACCTTGAAGTGCTTGGGTAAGTGTCTTAAGTGTTTACATAGGTAGGGAGCCACATGGAAGCTGCCCTTGTAGAGTCATGTCCTCCTCCCTTTGGGGACAGCTCAAGACCCCTTCTCTTAGATGCCACTGTGGGGCTAGGCACCAGGATGTCATTGATGAACAGGGTGAGCATGTCTGCTCTCTGCAACAGCCCTTCCCACTGCCTCCCACAAACCCGGCATACCTCTGAGTCTTTTGTGTGCCTGATCCCATGTGTTCTTGACTCCATGTGTGCCTAACCCTCTCCTGTAGGGTTGGGGACAAGGATAGTGCTAGGTAGGAGGTTTAGGGTGCTGACAGCATTACCCATAAGCCCCTCCTTTCCTTCTGTAGCCTGTGGCCTGAGACCTGGCTACAGCTTCCGCATTGTGGGTGGAAACATGTCCTCTCTCGCCCAGTGGCCCTGGCAGGTCAGCCTCCAGTTCCAGGGTTACCACCTATGTGGGGGCTCCGTCATCACCCCTCTGTGGATCGTCACCGCTGCACACTGTGTTTACGAGTGAGTGCCCGGACCTGCCGCTGTGGATCTGCTCTTCCCAGAGCCTTATCTAGTCCTGGGTCAGAGGGAGATGGGGTGATCTGTGGGTAAGAGCAGGTTAGGAAGGCAGGAAGCCAGTCACCATAAAGCCACATGTAGGAGGGAATGCCTGCCTTCATCATAGTGGACCTGTCTCTGTGTCTGGGAATGACATGAGCTGGGCAGGCACAGAGAAGGTAGAAAAAGAAGGAAGGAAGATTGGGTTGGAAAGAGACCCTATTGAAATAAGGATCCCAGGCCTTCCTGTGGCTCACTACTGTCATCTATTTGATGGCACAGCAGGGTACCATGGGGTGTAAGTGCAGGGTACCCAGAGAACACCGAGCCTCCACCAAGCTGGATCTGTCAGGCATTTAGATGGCAAGGAAGTCACAGAAAGCATCCCAGACCTAGCGGCTGATTCTCTTTTTAACTTGTGTTTAACTTGGTCAGTGGAGAAAGACTTGGGCACCCTCCACAGGGAGCAAAGCTGCTCTCAAATGTCTATCTCTTGGGTGGTGTGGAGAGAATGGCTTGTCTGGGATGTACATGGGGTGTGGTCAGTGTTCCTGCAGGACTTGGGAATGTGGTCAATGTGGGGCAGGGCACAGATGTGCAGGGCATGGGTCCATCTCCCACCTGGTGATATCTCTCAGTCTCCCTGGGCTCATGGAACAGTGGAGCCCAGCATGGTTGGGTCTGTCCTGAGCTCCGCCTCTCTGCATTTCAGCCTATACCACCCCAAGTCCTGGACTGTCCAGGTGGGTCTTGTGTCCCTAATGGACAGTCCTGTGCCCTCCCATCTGGTGGAGAAAATCATCTACCACAGCAAGTACAAGCCAAAGCGGCTAGGCAATGACATCGCCCTCATGAAGCTGGCAGAGCCACTCTCCTTCGACGGTATGCTTAGGCTTCTGCACAAGACAGTTGCTTTTAATTTGTTTCAAGAGAATTGGTGGTTGCTTGTTGGAGCATCGTTATAATGGCTGCTGTATTATTCTTGCCAGAAAATTCCAATGTTTGATTTAGCTGGGTGTTGACACCAGCGCACTGTCCTTTGCTCATTAAAGTTGTGTGTGTGTGTGCACGTGGAGGCCAGAGGCCAACACCAACAACAGCCTTCCTGGTTCTACTCTGGTCTCTCAGTCTGGTGCCAACTGAATGTAAGGGCTTCTCTAGGCCAGGCCACCTGGTGCCTCTAGGTGGCAGAAGAGAGTCCCTTAGGGACCGTGAGCAGAAAGCACATTCCCATCTTGGTGTTGGTTACATAGAGACTCTGGTGGGGTACTTCTGGTAGAAAGAGCAGGGGCAGCTTGAGGGCTTGGCAGGAGCCTCCCTCTTCCTCAGCATCTGGAAGGTTCTAGGAATCATCAGCTCCCTGGGCGTTCTTAGAACCGACCTCTTCCCTTCTCTCAGATTCTTATCACCTCTAGTGACAGAGGTTGAGTTCCAAGCTCAGCCCTCTGGCTGTTACAGAAACCCCTGCAGAGTCGGCCCTGCTGGGGCTCTCCTGCATTCTGTTAGTGGCACAGAACATTGGCTCCATCACTGAGAGTCCTGACCTTCCAAGGATGAGAGTGCTGGAGGGCAGGCAGGGCTGTTTCCAAGGTGGACCCCCGCTTCTCTGCAGCGAACCTGTGTGATTTCTAGCACAACAGAGAGAAAAGACTGCTGCGGTGGAGTTGAGGGCTGCTGCTTACCAGCTACTTTTGGTGGTATTTGGTTCTAGAGAAAGGAGTTATCTGTTGCTGTACTTGGCTAAAGAATTAACATGTCACCCCTCCCTTCTTCCTTCCTTCCTTCCTTCCTTTCTTTCTTTTTCTTTTTTCCTTTAGGTTTTTCAAGACAGGGTTTCTCCGTGTAGCCCTGGCTGTCCTGGCACTCGATCTGGAGACCAGGCTGGCCTCGAACTCACAGAGATCCACTTGCCTCTGCCTCCCGAGTGCTGGATTAAAGGCGTGGACCACCACCTGGTCCCTCCCCACCTTCCTATCACCACCATTCCGGATGGCGGTGGCATCTCAAGTGCTGCTCACATGAAAGCCCTGGGCACATGTAGCTATGTGGCTTTGTTAGGGTCTCAGTGGCACAGCCTAGGCTCACTACAAACACCAGGGGCAGCGGGAACATCCCCAGTGTGATGCTCTGTGCATACACTCAAGGTCTGGACCAGGAGTGGCCAATTGTGGCCCAAGTATGACTCAATGCACATTTGAGCAATAAAATCTTGTCATCAATCCACCAGCCCCTTGTGTTTACATCTCTTATGGCTTTGGCACCAGTGATGACATGTGATCACCTGGTCCGCAAGCCTAAACTGTCTACTGTCCAGGTTTTTACAGCCAGGGCTTGCTGCTGGGCTCACACCACATTCTAGTCTACACTCAGGTTATATAGACTCTGGGGGATGAGTGGGTGGGGTCTCTGCTCTGAACTAGCTGACTTCAATGACCAAGGCCCAACCCCTCCCTAGGAGATGGGTTCAACACAAAGTCAGTTCATTTCTGGGACCGTGGCTTCAGGGATTTCATATCATTGCTTCCTTTCTAACAGGGACCATCCAGCCTGTCTGTCTGCCCAACTCTGAAGAGAACTTTCCTGATGGGAAACTGTGCTGGACATCAGGATGGGGGGCCACAGAGGATGGAGGTCAGTGGTCTGAAGCCAGAGGCTGGGAGGGCCCACTCCAATGTTCTGCTGTGAAGGTCCCACCCAGCTCAGGGTTAGTGCGGACCAACTGTTCACAACAGTAGTCTGCCGAGTAACTGTGGAGCGTCAGTCAGTGTGATGCTGTGAGGCTTCTCTGGAGAGAAATCGGCTGTGAGGGAGAAGTGTGGGTATTTGTCCATGGAGAGGCCTTCACACACCCTCCTTCCTGTCTCCTCTCACTCTGCAAAGCAAACGTATAAAGCACACCTTGATGATGCCCCACGTTTTATTTAGCTTTCAGGGTTACCCGGTAAAGAACGGATGTCTGTGAGAGCTGGCAGGGGTGTTCTATTTTCTCCTGTGAGCACAGAGTAGAAGGCGCTACCCAGGAGCCTCCACATCTGGGTCCCCTGCATCAAGGTAGACTGCTGACATGGTCTCGAGGCTCAGGGCAGTCTGCTGTCACTAGAAACTGTAACAAACCACCATGGCCCGGATGGCTCAAAAGGCTCAAAAGAGCAAGTCCTCTCACAGTTCTAAAGTCTGAGGTCAAGGAGTCTACAGGCCTGAGGTGGGGTCTATCCCAGTGTCTCCCCAGCATCTGGTGCCTCTAGCCATTCTTAGGTTCCTTGGCTGGCTGATGCGTCACTCCAGTCCAAAAGTCTAGACGATTGTTTTTGCCTCTCCACCAATGTGGATTCTGGGTATCGAACCAACAACTTTACCGGCTGACGCATCTCATCAGTCCCTTGAGTCCTGTCTCCATGACATAAGTTGTTGGATTTAGAGCCTGCCCTGCATGCAAGATGACCTGCCCTTGAGATCATACTTCAGCAGCCTCTGCAGAGGCTGTTCCAAATAGGGTCACATGTCTCAGTTACAGGCAGACAAATAAGAAGGGGGCTCTAATTCAACCCACGCAGGAAGTTCGGTGTTTTCCTTAGGGGACGTATTCATTCAGGGTCTCACTGCCACCCAGTCTGCCCAGGAACTCACTGTGTAGCCCAGGCTAGCCATCATCTTCACAGCAACCCTCTAGCCTCAGCCTCTCAAACTCTGGGTTTCAATGCCCAGCTTGTGTGTTTACTGCCTTCCAGTTATAACTCAGACGTCACCAGCCAGCCTCAGGGGTCGCAGGTGCTGGCAGTCTGGCTCCTCAGGTGGCTCTGATGACAGCTGTCCCCTTACCTATGCTTCTATATGCCTGGGCTGGTGGCCTCATCCTCATCTTCGAGGCCAGCAGGCTGGTCTGATGCTAAGCCCTGCTCCTCTGATGTTGCCTTCATTGAGTCATTGAGTCTTTGCTAAGTGCTTGTAGTTTTCATGAGTCTACCCATGATATCATTGAGGTTATCTCACACCTGTACCCTTGAGTGCATGCCTGTGAAGTTCCCTGGCTAATGGCACTGCCACAGGTCCAGGGCCCACACCTCTATTTGGAGGGACACACTCTTGCTGACCACATACAGCTCTGTCCAGATATGTGAGGCCTTCGGGAGCCTCAGTTTCCCTTTTGTAACATGGATTGACTGGGGTGGGTCCAGGGCTTGGCTGTAGGAAGAAACATTTGTCTACTGTTTCCTGCTTCTCTTCCACTTTGAGTCTCTTAGGGGAATAAGTGGCCCTGACAAAGAGATGGGGATACACAACCCATTCAGCAGGGACACTCTGTGCTCCCTGACAGTCTGCTATTCCAGCTACAGACCTGGTGTTTGTTATTATTGCTGTGTCAGGTAGCATACCCCCCTCCCCTTTTCTCCAGTCTCTGTCTCTCTGTTTTCTAAGCTAGGCTCCTCACTGCACATTTTCTCATTATTTTGAGGCAGGCGACGCCTCCCCAGTCCTGAACCACGCGGCTGTCCCTTTAATTTCAAACAAGATCTGCAACCACAGGGATGTATACGGTGGCATCATCTCCCCATCCATGCTTTGTGCAGGCTATCTGAAGGGTGGTGTGGACAGCTGCCAGGTAAAGGACTGCCATTTACTCTGGGGGCCAAGGTAGCAGGCAAGAGTCCAGTATAGTGACCCAGCCCATGGGACAGGCCACTGCCAGCTTCCCTGTGACTGAACAAAAAGCAAATTTACATGGCACAAGGAAGAGATTTGCTTAAGATATCCCTGGCTTTCCTGGTGGCCCGGCCTGTGTTTACCCAGGCACTCAGTCTTCCAGGGCATGGGGTGTTGCCTTCCCTAATCCTCTCCAGCCTGATTCTGAGTGTATAGGGGGACAACCAGAGCAGCAAACAGGTGTGAGCTGATGGGTCTGGGCTTCCAAAAGCCACAGCGGGTGAGACTCAGCACCACCTGTGGTCACAGTGAGTTAGTTCTGTCTCATACAGACCCTTCCTCTTCCAGCCCCATGGGCTACACCGGCCACCCTTGACCTCCCGGGGTGGGGGTGTAGACACAGCTGGAAGGAGCCACCTCTTGACAACAGCGGAGTGCATTTAGAAGTGCACGGGGAGAGTTGTGTACCTGGTATCACTGGCTCGCAAAGTGAAAGGGAAGTCTGTGTCACCAGCACAGTATAGCTGCTCAATCCCCTTGACCTTTTCCTCCTTCTGCTCTCCAGGGAGACAGTGGTGGGCCCCTGGTGTGCCAGGAGAGGAGACTGTGGAAGTTGGTGGGTGCAACAAGCTTTGGAATCGGCTGCGCTGAGGTGAACAAGCCTGGAGTCTATACCCGAGTCACCTCCTTCCTGGATTGGATTCATGAGCAGTTGGAGGTGGGTGAAGTGCCCCAGTTGGAGGCTGATGTGACTTTCCAGCTCACGTGTTCCCCGCACCCAGTGTGACCACAGCTCTGCCGTGGGAGACAGGAAGGAATGGAAAGGATATTGATTCCGCAATGATTTGGTGGTTTTGGGGTATCAACCCCAGAGCACAGCTAATCCTACGGGTGTGATCCAGGCTCACAGGGGAGGGACAGGAAGAATGGACCCGCTTGACTAAGCAGGGAAAAAGCTGACAAGTGAATAAGGTGTCTCCTCGGAGTGAGGGTAGGGTTAGGATGCCATGTGTGCATGGAGCAGAGGGCAGGTGGGTTGACTTTAAATGAGGTAGAGGTAGGAGAGGGGATTCTCCAAATGCCCCTGTGAATTCGATGCCTTGCGGAGAGCCAGAGTGGAACAGAGTTCTGAAGCAAGATGGGCCTGGGCAGCTTTGCTTCAGGGAGGGGGAAGCAGGACAGGCCTAGAGAGACCCCTGGTCAGCAAGAGGAAGATAGGGGAACCCTAAGCCACCAGGGAACTGAGACTCACTGGAAACCAGGCAAAAAGATGTCCCGATTGACACAGGTCTTACTGTGATGAGAGCTAGATGTCCATGAATCCCCTCCCTCCAAGTGGGAAAGGGCGGCAGGAAGGCAAGGCCCAGCCAGGGACTAAGCACTAGGCAAATATTTACTAACTTTATTGCAGATTGGCCTGATACCATCCTCTAATCCAGTTTCAAAGCTATTTTCTCCTGACATAATAGAGGTGAAATTTATGTAACATAGACAAACTTTCAAAAGACAATAATCTCATGGCATTTGGCACACTAATGTGTGAGGCTACAACTTCTGTTTAGTTCCCAAAACCTTCTGATCATCCCAAGGGAAACCCATGTCCCTTCCTGGCCTCCAGTCTCCAGCAATTAGCTTCGGGCTTCCAAGCCTTGTATATTCATTCATTCATTCATTCATTCATTCATTCATTCATTCTCTCTCTCTCTCTCTCTCTCTCTCTCTTTCTCTCTCTCTCTCTCTGTGTATGTGTGTGTGGTGTCTGAAATGTGTTATGAAACCCAGATTGGCTTCTAACTCATTGTGTAGCTGAGGATGACCCTGGACTTCTGATTCTCCTGCCTCCACCTCCCAAGTGTTGGAATAACAGGCATGTATCAACATACTTGGTTAATGGGATTCTGGGGTTCAAACCCAGAGTCTGCATTCTAGGCAGATACTCTAACACTGAGCTGCACCGACTTTCTTTTTAAAAAGATTATTATTTATTTAACCAAATATCTTATTTTAGTTTTTTGATTGTGTACGTGTGTGTGTGTGTGTGTGTGTGTGTGTGTGTGTGTGCATGTGAGCACAGGGTCTTCAAAGGTCAGAAGAGGAGGGCAGATTCCCCTGGAACTAGAGTTACTACAGGCTGTTTTAAACTGCCTCATGTAGGTGCTGGGAATCAAACCAAGTCCTCTGCAATATAGAGTAGTATGTGCCTAAGCCATCTCAGCCACTGAGCCATCTCAGAGCCCTTTGAAAAGAGTTGCTGTCATTTGAAGCAACTGACTAAGAAAAGATGCCTTCAATAACTTCCTTAGCATCCCTCAGGTGTTAATTTCTGCTTCTTTCCTTTTTTAAATTTTATTTTTATTTTGTGTGTGGGGGTATACATGTATGCCTGTGTACCCTGTGTGTGCTTGATGCCTGTGGAGGTCAGAAGAGGGCATCAGATCTCCTGAGACTGGACCTACAGACAGTTGTGAGTTGCCATGTAGGTGCTGCAAATCAAACCCAGGTCCTCTACAAAGAGCAGCCAGTGCTCTTAATCTCTGAGCTATCTCTCCAGCCCTACCTAATTACTATTTCTTCATTATTGGTTTAGTGCAAAGTTTCCTTCCTTCCTTCCTTCCTTCCTTCCTTCCTTCCTTCCTTCCTTCCTTCCCTCCCTCCCTTTTTTTTCTTTCTTTCTTTCTTTCTTTCTTTCTTCCTTTCTTCCTTTCTTTGTTTCGGGATTTTGAGACAGGGTTTCTCTGTGTAACCTTGGTTGTCCTGAAACTCACTCTGTAGACCAGGGTGACCTTGAACTCACAGACATCTACCTGTCTCTACCTCCCTGGTGCTGTGATACCACTGCCTGGCTTTCTTTCTTTTTTATAGTACTGAGAACTGGATGCAAGGTCTTGTGTATACTAGGTGGGGTTCCACCACTGAGCTACACCCCAGCTCTCTGCTTCTTCATTTGAATTTTGGCCTTAAATGAGGCAGGACACTGAACATGGTTCCTGCGTTGGGGTGGGTGGGGCTGTCAGCATCACTAGTCATTTCTGTAGCCTTGTTTTCATCTTCTGTGTATGATGGAGGCCCAGTGCAGGCCTGGCGGCTGGCTAGTCACAGGCCTGCAGGAAGCCACCTGGAGCAATCTGCTGGCACTATGCATTTAGTACCACAGGTTCTTCTTCAGTACAGAATTTAGCCAGAATTTGTGTTCCCTTTTCTAGATATGAAAATGACATTTGAACAGGTGGTTTCCTTGTGCAGAGTCCACTGCCATGGACTGGGATGCGGACAGGCCATGTGTGCATGGGAGGCGTGGCAAGCAATCCAGGAACCTCAGAAAGCAAGTGTGCCTTCCTGTGGCTGTTCTTGGGACACAAGTCCCATGTGACCAAGCCTCTTATGAAAGTCTAAACCACCAGAGGTTACAAAGCAAAGAAGGGCCATCCCTGGTGCTTCCCACTGTCCAGGGATGTGGGACATCCAGGGGCTCAGGCTGGGGAGCCATGACAGGGATGCTCTTCACACTGTGAAGGGTCCCTACAACCTTCCTCACGATAGACGGGGATCTTGGACAAGTGAGGACTCCAAATTAGTAAGGACACATATGAGTATAGCCAAACCCAGACCAGGACCTCAGTGTGACTCTGCCCAGGGGGATAAACAGATAGCAAACTCAGGGTGAACAAACCCTTGGCTGTTTGCTAAAACTGAAGATTTCCCAGGACCCCCTTCCTGCCACTCTCACTGGTCTTCTGGGGCAGGGACCAGGGTGATCTTCATGACATTGTTTTAGGAAGGCTGGCATACCAAGACTCCCTGGCAAATCGGGAAAAGGCCTGACAGTTTCTGGAAAGTGTCTGTTCTCTGAGGGGTTTTGCTATGGTGGCTGACTAGGCTTTCTTAGTCATCAGCTGCCTCTGACCACTGAGGACCTGCAGGAGATGTGATCTGTCAGACACACCTGCTTCCAAATCTCTTTCCAAGTAGCTCAAGCAAGAGCCCGAAGCCCCTCTGTTCTGGAGGAGGGTTCCCGGGTTTGAGTTGTCTCACTAGAGGCCCCTCCAGGAGTCCTGTCACCTGGCAGCACTGTCACACTCGTCAGACCCAGCGGTCCCCCCTCCATCACCGTCATTCTACTCCACCCCCCAACATTGCCCTATCTAGTTAGGGCAAAACCAAATTGTTCTGTCTCAAATTAGGTCTTCGGAACATGCATCTGAGACCTAGCACCTTCATATAGCAGTCTGGGGATAGTCTTTGACAGAGATGAAAAGTGCAGAGGCCTTTCTGGATGGGAGCCTGGCAGTGCTCTCCCTCAGAGACCCAACCCTCCTCAGTGACCATTGATAACATTTAATGGAAAATCTAGGTGCCCACGGAGTTATAGTGTCCAAGACATGGCTTGTAGGGGGACAAATGGTGGCCCATGTTTTTACTTTCAGAGAGACCTGAAGACTTGAAGATGGGAGACAAGCCAGCACCTGAGCTCCCGAGGGTGGACACAGCCCGAGCCTTCCCTGGACTCCTGTGTGGGCATGGTGGGTTTGAGAACCAGCATTTAGTGCTCTGCCCATGGCACCGAGGCAGAGCCAGCGGGGAGAGAACCCTGCCTACCCTTGATATTTGGAGCTTCCTGCTGCTAAAGCCTCTGTCCCTGGGATGTGGGGATGAAATGGCCTTGGAACTTTCTGTGCTTCACAAGGACAAAAGCATCCCCACCCACGCGCACATAAGTGGTACCTTCCCTTGCCATCCTCCTAGATTTCCCCCTCAGAGCCACTGCCAACAAAGGCAACCTCTTGTGCAAAACCATTGACACCAGTTGGTGCAGACACGAGGCCAGGAGCTGCTGGTGTGGATTGTTACAGACGTGGTCACCTATTCCTTCTTCCTGGGCTCCCGTTCTCAACCCAAACCTCAGCTTCCAACAGCCTGTTTCAGGAGTTGGGGAGCTCAGTTTTGAATGATTCAGCGTAAGGCTTTGTTCCACTATTTTCTCACAGAATTTGGTGCTCGATGAAATTGCTAGCCCTTGCTTCTGGAAGGTGTCCCTTCTCTCAGTGTGGCTTGTCCTTGGGCTTGAGTGAATGAGTTGTGATGGCTCTCAGAAACTGAAATCATGGGCTCACATCGCAAGACCATCCTGCACATGCCAGAAGTTTGCATTTTCCTGTTAAGAATAGGTTTCACAGCACATTAGAATAGCCCATCTTGTATCATGGGACTCATAAGTAGAGTAAGTGACACAGGTCTGGGTGAAGACAAGACCAGAGGACACTAAAAGCAAGTTGAATAAAAGGTCCCAAGTCACTGAGGGCCACCTCATCCCTCCATGCACTCTGCTAACATACTACAGCTGATGGAATCTGGGTCCCCCCTTCAAGGCCCACAATCCTATGGTCCCCATATTACCCACTAAAAGAGGAGGGTTACATAGGAAGTAGCCATTGGCCATCTGAGCTTGTCACAAATTAAGTCTTCAGAATATGAATCAGTTGCTCTGTGGCTGCAACAGAAAATACGTGTGCACATGCATGCAAGTGTGTGTGTGTGTGTGTGTGTGTGTGTGTGTGTGTATAGCACTGGAAGGGGACACCACCAAAACAAACTGCCACACAGGCGTCGTGCTTGGGCTCAGCCCTGTCCAGATCAGGGCCACTACTCAGATTTCTATGATTAGAATAAATATCCCAAGACCCACTGTGAGTGCTCGAATCTTTGGGTAACTCTGAACCCTTGTACTGATGGTTCTTTTCACTATTCACACATCCCTGCAGTGTAATTTATCTATTAGTCACAGGAAGAGATGGACAGTCATCACTAATAATACAACACAGCAGTTATAAAAACATATGGCAATCAATACTCAGTGCAAATGACTTCCTGCCAACTAAATATCTTACCACACTTCAATGAAGTGTTATAGGGCATCTCTCTGCTGTGCCCCAGCAGAGGTTTTTGTCATTGATGGTGGACCTTAGATGCTGTGGCTTGAACAAACCAGATGTAGGGGCTGCATAGACGTCTCAGCAGTTAAGAGCACTGGCTGCTCTTGCAGGGGACCGAGTTGTGTTCCCAGCTCACAGCTGCCTGTAACTCCAGTTCCAGGGCATCTAACACCCTCTTCTGGCCTTCAAGGGCACCAGGCACATATGTGTATGCACACACACACAGACAGAGACATACATGTACATAAATAAACAAAAACTGAATTTTAAAAAGTAGATGTCTTAGTAAGGGATACTATTGCTGTGTGAAACACCATGACCAAAAGCAACTTGGGGAGGGTTTATTTCACTCACAGTTCCATATAAAAGTTGACCATCAAAGGCAGTGAAGGAAAGAACTCAAACAAACCTGAAGGCAGAAGCTGATGCAGAGGCCATGGGGTGGGTGTGGTGGGAGGGCAGGGGCACTGCTTAGTGGCTTGCTCCTCGTAGCTTGCTCAGCCTGCTTTCCTATAGAACCTGGGACCATGAGCCCAGGGGTGGCACCATCCACAATGAGTTGGGCCCTCCCTAACCAATCATTAATTAAGAAAATGCCTTCCAGCCAGATCTTATGGAGACATTTTCTCAGCTATGGCTCCATCCTCTCTGATGACTCTGGCTTTGACATTAACTAGCAAAGATAATAGAGAAAGCAGATGTTGCAACCATGGAGAAGTCAAGCTATGCCCCTTGTAGCTTTTCCCACTCCAGGAAGAGAGCAGACAGGTGAGAACTACTGTGGCCTGGAAGTCCTCCTCTCTCTCCTTCTCATAGCCAGAGGCAGCTGCAGACCCCTGATGCTACAGCTTCACCCTCCTATTTAGTGCCTTCTTGCCCGATTCCTAAACTCAGGATAGGTCACTGGTGTGGTATGAAATCCTCATCGCCCAACCTCAAGAGCCAGAAACTCCCTCTGAACTCTGAAACTGGAGGCTCCCTTACCCTGCCTGCTGCCTTAACTATCTCAGTAAGCCTCCTCTGAAGGGTAATTTGTCTCAGCTCCTAGCCACAAACTTGTAATATCTCTCTCTTTTATACCTGTAACAGTTAAAAAGTAAAAGAAGGGTCATTTGAATACATGCATTGCTCTACCAAGACCCCGCCCAATAAATGGAGTAACTATTAACTGAGGGGTGTGGGTGGGTAGCATATACAGTGTGGCACACTGGACAAAGGCATGATTTATATCCTGGAAGGACAGAGTGGAAAGGCATGAGATTTCCTCATACTACTCAGAACAGTATGTTAACTGAAGACTTACCAAGGGTTTATTTCTGGAATTCCCATTTAATATTCTTGGCTACATACAATTGACTTGTAACTGAAACTTTGAAAGAGAAACCTTAGATAAGCACTGACGACATTTTCATTCCAGGTAGGTTTCACCAAATTCTCTTTGAAAATGCTGCTGGTTTCCATGTGATATATTCAAGCTGTGAAATTCGGGGGTTTTCTCAGGAGCCACCTCTCTCAAGACAGCTGGACTGTGAGGTTAGCAGAAGGACAGTTCCAGCCTGCTGTGCCTTCATCCTTCTCTGACCACCGTTGTTTAATGCTCACAGACTCTGGTCATGGATAATAAGACAGCAGCCAGCTAGCCAGCACAGACTGGATGCCTGGCCCAAGCCCTGCACATTTCAATGCTCCTACCTCTTTGTCACTACATTGCTACTGTGACAGCTTGGCTGCTCCTTGGGAGCCTTCCTTAATCCTCTTTCAAGCCTTAGGTCCCTTCCCTTTTGCCTGGCACTCAAAATTCCAAAGAAGAAATCTGCCTAAAGGATAAACATGCTAACTGCTAGGTTATATTTCTTTAGATTTAGAGTCTATACCATCTAGCCGTCTGCATATAGCATAAGCCATGAGCCTCCTTTCCATAGTCTTTCATAAGAAGCATAAGTATTTCAGGGAGGTTTGGCTCAAAGAACAGCACCGTGCCCTTCAGAAGGGAGTGCAGGAAGTCCTCCCAGGAGCATGAACTGCACTGCAGTGCTCCGGCCAGAAGGAAACTGCATTGAGAGGCAGCCTTTCTGCCCCTCTCCTCCTCCTCCCTGAGACATCAGCTGCATCCCTGGCTTCTCCCAGGCAGCTTCATCTATTTGCCATGGTGGTGGTCCTTGAATAAACCTGATTATATCCCACCAGCTCTCATCTCCCAGATATTGGCTATTGAATAGAGATGCCCAGACATTAGTCCAGGGACACTAAGACAGGACTAGTGTGATCCCACGAGGGAGAAGGGAAGCATACTCTCAAGACACACATTGGTCCAGCAACGGATGGGCTCAGAGTGGCTCATTGTACCAGCAGCAAGCAAAGCAACATGGAACCAGACACTTGGGCATTTTGCTACCCATTCAAAACCGTGAGAGATGCCTGTGATCCCAGGTCCTGACTTCACCTTCCTCCAGGACAGTGGCTCTCAATCTACGGCTTGTGACCCCACAGGGGTTGTATATCAGATATCTTGCATAGCAGATATTTACATTACGATTTGTAATGAATGGATGATTTCTATAAGAGCAAGCCACCACCACATACTTTCCTGAATGCTGTCACTTCACACACCAGCACACTGCCTTAGAAATAATAAGAAGCAACCCGAAGATAGCTTTTAATGTCATGATTTGCTTTAAAAGTATCTGTATCTCTCCACTCAAAGGTACAAACATTATCAGTGGGTATCGGAAAACTGGACTCTAGGATATCACCATTTGATCTGGACCATATCCTGGGCTGCCTGAGTGGTGTGAGTCACGTAGAAATAGCATTTGAGGCGTACTTCACATAAGAACGACCAGAGTACATCACAGCAGAGGAGGGGTTATAACTCAGCTACCATAGCAAAGAGGTTACAGCACAGGGCTGCCCCCCTTCTCCCCCAGCCCTGTCCCTCCTTCCCTCCGCCTCCTTTTCTTCTAGAATAACAAGCAGAGCATAGTCATCCTGTCTCAAAGCTATTCTCTAAGCACCAGGGTTGTGTCTCAGGGACAGGACCTGGATTCTTGGCTTTTTCCTTTGTGGTCTCTTGGTTTTTCCTTTCTCTCTCCTTCACACCTTAGTGCTAACTGTAGGCTCCCACCCTCTGAGGGGAGCTGGGCTTGCTCTCTCCTTTAGGTGCATTTTGGCTGCTTGCCATCTCCCTTTGCACCAAGAATCACTAGTGAAGGATGCAGCCCCCACACCTACTACCATCCCTCTCCTTGCTCTCATGAGTACCTGGATTGTCCTAGAAGGCATGGATGATGTGTGCAGGAGCTTCTCTTTGGGTGGACCCGAGTTCAGTTCCCAGCACCAATGCTCACATCATTAACTCCAGCTCCAGGGTGATCTGATGCCTCTGGCCTCCGTGGACAAGGGCACTTGTGTGTACACAGACACGCAAACACGATTCATTAAAAAATAAAATCAGTTTTTTTTAAAAAAAATTTGAGGTTTATGTCCTGGTTTCATTTTGTTGCTATAATACA